ATTGATTGTAAAGCGCTGTTGATCTGTCATTGTAAATAGCGCTCTATAAGTGATAAATTGTAATTGTTGTAATTGTAATTGTTTTGGTCTGTCAATACACAGAACGCACTCTTACCCAGTACAGTATGTTGTGCTGTTATCCTGCAACTCTGTGAGAATAACAGTTATTCTAGCAGTTGCAGAAACGTTAATGAGAAGTTGATAAGAATCTTTTGAAAAACTTTGCACTGAGATCATGGAAAATGAGTAGAACCTCTATAGATAAATGAATAGATAAAAAATTAGCAAGAATTGTCTTCACATTACCAGGTTTATACTGAGAAAAACACTTACAATTTTTAGTGAACTTACTTCAGCGGTGAAAATTAAATAAGGAGTGAGGTGAAAGACACTCCTATCCGTCCGTTTTTTTTCTGGTTATTGATTTATTTTTGTTTCTCTTTCTTATTTTTCTGCCCTTTTTTTCTTTATTTCAGAGTTTACGATTTGGACGACACTGAATTACTTCATCATTGGGATTACACCTACAAGTTTATACAGAGAGCCAAGTGAGTTATGATTCTAGTGTCCGTTTACAACTGACCCCAGCAGCGAGATCTTAACCCTTACACTCCTCGGAGTTACCAAGACAGAATTTCTCTTTAAAATGTCAATACAACATCAAGCAGATAACTGATGAGAAACAAGAAAGATACCAAGTTAGGTATTATTAGGTGATCCAATCCTGAATTCTCCAAACTAGCATCTTAAGAATTGTATGGTGGACAATAAGGAGAATTACTAATGAGATTCGCGAGTGAAGGGTTTATTTAGCGATTAAAGGACTGATTCCGCATCTCACTTGATCAGTCAGCGAACTGAGCATATGCAACCAATGTCAAGTAAACGTTCACAGGATTCTTGGTTCAGCCTGCGATCAAAACAGGACATTAAGCATGGGAAAGCGTGTTACTGCGATTAATTCATACATCAAGGGAGGGAAAACGTGTACTCAGCGTCAGAGAGTCGCAATGCCTAAAGTTAAAACATGTGGACTATGATGTTTGCACTAGGCGTTAGAAGACATGTCGTTTTTTTCGAGGTGCGTCAAACACCAGCTGTGGTCAAACGCAGAAATGTGCTCCTAACTCGTAACCTTGACTTTCTTTTCTTTTTTCGTGCTTGGTTTTCAGAAATGCGGGTTCGAAAGTTCTTGTGCATTGCAGAATGGGAATCAGCAGATCAGCGTCAACAGTAAGCTTTATTTTTTGTGAATGTGTTGTATCAAATGCTGATTCAAGTCCGAGTTTTGTCTCTTTGTATTCAAGGGAATGCTTGAAATTTAAACCAGAAAGACCCAGTGCATGTTTGATATTCCCTTTATTTTCTTTTCCGTCGAAGCTTCGGCGTTGCTGCTTACCTGCTTACTTTAATTATGACTGACAGGTTGACTGAGTGATTGACTGACAGACTCACTGATCTACTGACTGGCTGGTTGAGAGAGTGACAAACAACCTGACTTACAAACTGACTGACAGACTAAGTAACCGACTGACTGACCGACCAACCTAATGACGGACGGGCTGACTGTCTGACCGACTGAATGAATGACTGACTGACCGACTTACTGACTGAGCAACCAACTGAATGACTGATTGGCATAGACCGACTGACTGACTAAGTGACCGATTGACTGACCGACCAACTTATTGACGAACGGGCTGACTGTCTGACCGACCGACAGACCGAATGACCGAATGAATGACTGACTGACCAACCAACTGAATGACTGAGCAACCAACTGAATGACTGATTGGCATAGACTGACTGACTGACTGACTGAGTGACGGACTTACTGACTGATTGATTGACTGCCTTACCGACTGACTTGATTGAATGACTGATTGACAGACAGACAGACAGGCAGAGCAAGCGCTAACTGCCACTTATTTATTCATCAACCGACCAAACGTTTGACCGAGCACACCGACGATCAAAGCTGCGAGAGACTGAGTGTCACAACCGGCTGACCAGCCAACGTAAAATTGATTTAGCTGTTTGCATTTTTGTTTCTCAGGTTATCGCTTATGGCATGAAAGAATATGGTTGGTCTTTAGGAGACACTATGAAGTACGTCAAAGCGCGAAGAAATGTTGTTCAGCCGAATGCAGGATTTTGGAAGCAGCTTATCACTTATGAAGGCATTTTGAATTCGAGGTAAATCTCCCCTTGCAAAGTATACAGGGTAATTAAAATTATTTTTGCTTTGTTAGATTTTTTTTTTTAATTTATTTTGCTCTTTCTGTAACAGTGCTAATAAGCTAACTCTTTCACCGCAATATTCTCTCTCCTTCCCCTATCCATGTAATATTTTAATGTGAGTTCTGAGAATTCAGTCTTTAATCAAACGATCTCCCTCTCTTAATGTTTTTAAGTATTATTGCCCTTTTGCTGCTTGGAGAAAGAAAGGTGCCTGAATTTTAATATGCCCTTCAATCATAGTTCCAGGTGATGTGGCAGATTTGGTGACATGATATCACGACTGTAGATACATATTTTTTACGGGTGAAACATTTTTTTCTCCCTCAGCAAACACCGCTTCAACAAAATTTTCAGACATGGGTCATTCTCATCAGATGCAGAGGAGTTGTCTAAGAGTGCGGCAGGAGCTGTACAGAAACGGAAAAAGGAGGAACAATCACAAGCTACAGTTCAACAAGAAGTTGCGGTCACTGCGAACAATTTTTCAAAGGAAACTGAAAGCGATTCAAACTTAAAAGAGGGAGTGTTACCTTTCGATAGCGAGGGAACATCTAGCGTTGCTGAGGATACTACGGTGAATGCTGATAATGTTTTTACGTCCGAAGGCGCTACGCAGGAGGGCAGCGAAGTGGACTGTGTACCCGCGCCTAGTTCACCAACCGCCATGGGCTCAAATTTGATGGTCGAATCCAGGGAAGAAGAATGCGTGGGGACAAATTCTGTGCGAGGAAGCTTGGAAGTTTCGGAAATTGTTCAGAAGAGTTCGTTACAGAGAGTAAGTTCAGTACCTTCTTTGTCAAATGATGACCACAAGGGAAAGGAGTTGGACAGCGAGTCCACAGGAAAATTTCGTAGATCGTGCTCCTTACGAGAGCGCGGCCCTAGAAAATTACAACTTTTTCAGGATAGCGCGAAAGCTATGTCCGCCAGCGACGAGAATCTCAAGGGATTCGAGCGTAAAAAGAGGGAAATTCTCGACTTAGAGGAAATTAAGAATAAGGAATGTACTGAAGGTCTTAGTTCTGTGGTCACCAAACCGCAGGGAAGCTTGCTAAGGGATTTAGATGGTGTACTTGAAAGCGGTTTTGTGAAACGCCATTCGAGAAAATTTGAAGGAGGCGTCCATTTTGTTCCATCTGTGACGCTGTCTGATGATGTGGACCCTAAGGCAGAAGAAGAATCTACTTTTGAACTTTCGAAGACAGATGAAGATGGTGATGAAATTACAGAAGATACAGAGGAGCAAACTTTCCAAAGCGAAGAACCTGAACCAGGTGTAGTTAGAAAACATAAGGAAGGTTATGAGTTGAAATATCGAGAGAGTTTAAAGAGACGAGCGTTACTGCAGCGTGGCGTGAGTGAAGAAGCAAAAACTGTTAAACATGAAGGAAACGAAACGGAAGGAGAACCGGTTGGGGACAATGATTCGCCTTCGTTGCAAGCTCAAGAAGGGGAGGAGTGCGGTCGCATCCAAGGTGTTCTCGTAGAGGCACTTGTTCAGAAGGTGAATGAGGATATGAAAAAGACCGTGTCTGCTCGGAAAATCTCAGCTTCAAAGAAAGAACAAGAGCTAAGAGTATTTGTTCAGCAAGCTGGAGAACAAATGAAAGAGGCTCTGGATAGTGTTGACGATGAGCCTTCGAAGGCTAGTTCCAACAACTCTCTGTTCGATGATAATCGATGTGAGGAAATCAGTGATACGTGTATCGTTAAGAGTAACTCTTTGAAAGACAAACAGGAAGTGCTAAGTAAAAGCACATCTGCCGAGCCCAGGCAACCTGTCGCGTTCAAGAATGACTCGAAGAGCTCTACTGTAACTGAAACTTCAGAGGTATTAGACAGTGGCACGGATGGGGGAGAAGATGTCGAAAATGTCTTGCAGAGAGGTCTTGTGAAACGACACACACTGTTGATTGAGGGGAAACTGCAGCAACCCGAGCACGATTCAGAGAAGGAACGTGAATCTCAAGAGGAAAAAGAAAGCGCAGGTTCAAACGACAGAGAAATAGTAAAAGAGTTGGTAAAAAGTGAAGTCTGTGATGCATCACAGGAAGAAGTGAACTCTGGGTGCACATTGATCCCGAGCATTGAGTCAACAGATCAGATAATCCCAGTAAAAACAGAAATACCAGAATCGTCAAAGGAGAGGGAAGATACAGGGAGTGACCAGGATGCAACAGACATACCCGCAAGGGGTTTGGTGAAACGTCATACGCTGTTGATTGAAGGAAAGCTTCAGCCATTGGATCAAGAACTGGGACAAGATGGCGTGAAAGAACTTGGAGGAAAAGACAGTGAAATCTTAAAAGACCAGGAAGCGTCGCAATGGGAAGGAGACGTGGACAAAGATCGAGATCAGCTTGACCTGAACGTTGCACCGGATGCAAATATTAGTGTGGAACCAATAGCTGAAGGAGGAAAATTATCCGATATGTCCGACGCTGCAGAAGACAAAGGGAGTGAACAGGACACGGAGGACATTCCCAAGAGAGGTTTAGTTAAGCGCCATACACTTTTAATTGAGGGAAAGATACAGCCTCTTGATCAACAGTTGGACAAAGACATCGAGAAAGAAGTGAAAGATGGTGTGGTTGCTCTTGAGAATGAATCAATTAAGAATGAAGATCACTTGCGGTATCAAATCGAGCGGCCTGGCGGTACCTCGGGCGATCAGTTGGACGAAGTTGACCAGGACAACAAGACAGCGGCTGGGTTGGTAAAGCGACAAAAACAGCGCATCGAAGAAAAACTCCTTCCAGCAGAAGAACACAGAGAAGATCGAGAGCAGGAGTTGTCGGGCAACGAGACTGTAACTGTTGAAGCTGATGATGATGGAGAAGTCTGCCAAGGAAGTGATGAGAAGGTTGAGGACGATAGTCATGAAGATCAATTACAAGAAAAAGAGCTAAACGAATTGGGCGTGGATACTTCAAGTGTTGTGAAAGTTAAGCAACAGACTCAGCATCTAGAAGGTATCATTCGTGTTGCACACGATGGGGACAAGGTTAAACGGCAATCCTCTAAGGAAGAGGATCCGAAGTGTAGCGAGCAATCGCCGAAAGTCGTAATAGTCCCTCGTTCGAGTTCAGACGAAACAACGGAAGATGGCGCGGTGGATACAGGTAATGAAGAGAGAATGGAAGTCCTGAGTGACAGGGCTGTGAACAAGGCTCTGAACAAAGCTCAGGAGAAATTGGATTTTGAAAAGGTAAACCTTGAACCGGAGAAAGAGCAGCCTGTTGACTGGGAATATGCAAACGTTCGCCAAAGAACGCAAATCTTCGAAACTATCATGGGACGGTCTGATAAAGACATTCAAAAAGACGATGGAGAGAGTGAAAATCAGACTAACTCGCTCCGTCGGCACGAATCGATGTCTAAGGTGTTTCGTGCATCTGAGAAGCCAGCTATGCGTCGCCGCTCAGTGTCGGACGTAACCAAGCCTGTTTCGTCAGGTTCCGACCGTAAAGTCGGTTATACTATTCAGTTCAAGCAAAAAGTTGCGGAATCTTCGGGTTCGTCTTCTCTTCCTCGCGACTGGAGTCCCTTTGACAACAAGCATAAACGTGAAGATAAAGGACTGTGCCCGAAAGTAGTGTTTTCTTCTGAAATAATTCATCAGGGTGAACTCAAAGAGAAATCCAACGTAGAACTTATTGACAACCAGGACAGAGAAAATCAGGCTTGTCAGAGCATAAAGGAGACAGTTCAAGTTTTAGATTCAAAGAATAAAAAAATTATTACTTCAAATTAGATGCAAGCCCTTGTGCGTTTAAGTTCTCAAAGGATCGTTCTTGAATTTGCTGTTTTCAAGAAAGTTATTTTTTACTTCGATTTGAAATTTAAATTATGCAGAGAGAAATACATTTACGAAGAAAATCATTGACTATACATAGTCTTTTGCGACCAAGAAACTTTATTTTACCACCGAATTTAAAGCAGTTTTTACTCTTCAAGCATTTTGCAAAATTTGGTGGAACAAACCTTTTTATCGAGGGGACTCATTGACGGTTTGTCAAATGAAAATTTCAAGCTATTTTACAGTGGAGAAAGCTCGTCAATTTTTGTAAGATTTGAAATTGGGAATAATTCCTCATTAGAGAGGATTAAATCTTAGCTGACTTCAAATTAGATACCGATTTTTCGCTCTTGATCCATTTTCAATTTTCAGTGATGTGTCCACAATGCCGTGACCTAGAACCGCATGATATTGTTTGTTTGTTCTTGAAATTTGACTTAAAGCGGTTTTCGATTGAACGTCCTCACATCAAGGTCTTAACTCAGGAATAAACCAGCCAGCGGTCAGTTTTAACCAACGAAAGCGCGTTGCAAGACGCAGGCGGGGAAAAAAGACAGAGATGTTATTTAGTCTAATCGGTAGATCAAGAAAGCCAGTCACCGAACGAAGTTAATTGAAGTCATTATTGATGTTTGGGACACAGTCGAGAATCGCTTTTATTAACATAGCTATATGGCAACTTTTGTGTACTACACGAGAATGATTTCTGATACCGTTCTATTTTATGCCGACTTGAAATGCAGGTGGAGCAGGTTTATTTGCGTTTCTTTGAAGTAAGGTTGGAATCTGGTCATGCACTTCAAGGAAAGAATTACTAAATTATAAATTTTGTTGAGTCAAGTCACCAGTTAAAGTTAATTTTTTACGTGCTCAGTTAGAAAGGCCTGATGTTTATATTAAGAGAATGTTACAAATAGAATCACAGAAAATATTTAATTATGGCGTCGATTTTGAATAAAAGAAATATTTATTGTGGCACTGTCTAATTTATTAAGTGATCTCTTGGGCTTTTCATGCTTCTCCGTAAGTAAGTAGCTTGCGAATTTGCGTCCATTGGGGTATCGGGTGGATAGCCTGTAAACGAGTTCTTTTGGGGTAAAATAGGAAAAACGCTAAACAAAGGATCCCACAGGGATCAACGAACGCTTTTCATTCCACTAATTTATTCATGTTTTTCTCGTTGCCATGCTCCCACCAATAACGTAGCTCCATTTTCTGCCTTTAAAAGCACACACAACCCACAATTCCTCTATTCGCTCCGACGAAGGGCTAACGCTCGAAACGTCAGCTTTTGTAATCATTACGGTGGCTAATTTACCATTTCAACTTTGTTGATATATCCAAATTATTTCGTTACTCCCACCGACGCAGCCCCAAACAGTTTCTTTCGAAACTATCAGCCTTTAAACAAAGGAACAGACTGATTAACGTCTGAAGGGGATGATTACGAAAGAATAAAAAGCTGCTTATCAAAGCTCGTTTTCTTTCTGCACTGTTTATGTTTTTCATGGAAACAGAAAATGTTTTGAACATCACTACTAATAGGTCAGAGGGTCGTTTGTTTGAATTTCCCTAAACCTTTTTACAGGTTTAAGTTATAGATGTGGATTTTGCTGACGGTATTGAATACCTCTGGTTACTATAACGACAGTCGTAGAAGAAAACGTGACGAATTTGAGTTTTGCGATAGAATTCCTCCTGAAGTGATGGAGCAAACTTGATGGAAATTAAAACCAGCCGTCGCCGGTGGGCGACCACGTCAAGAAGTTGTCCAAAATCGGACTTCAGTGTCCAAAATCTTAAATCTGACACCGGAATCCAACATCCAAAAACGGCCACTACTGTCCAAAATTCAAAATCGGCCACCTGACTGTGCAAATATCCAAAATCGGCCCAACTAAGTGTCCAAAAATCCAAAATCGGCCACCTGACTGTGCAAATATCCAAAATCGGCCCAACTAAGTGTCCAAAAATCCAAAATCGACCACTAGTGTCCAAAATCTAACACCGGCCACTATTGTCCAAAATCTGAAATCGGACAATAGTGTCCAAAATCTGAAATCGGACAATAGTGTCCAAAATCTGAAATCGGACAATAGTGTCCGAAATCTAAACACTTTTGGTTCAAAAACTTTCAGACAAATTCTCAAAGTTTTGATTTTCCATCACCCTAGTAGCGCGCACTGTGATGTTCTTTAGGGCTTTACACGTCATGTGAATAGGCAAGCTCCTTCTTTCTTCCCTTTTTTATATCTGACTCACTGAGAGGGAGAGAAGATCGAGTGAGTAGAGGAAGCGAGTTTTCTTAGCTTAAGTATTTTATTGTAGTTAGTTAAAAATACTCTGAAACACTTCAGCAATGATTTGCATTTCAAAGGAAGAACGCGACGATTCCCGCTGAAACTAAAATGATATTCATATGAATAGTTTACAGAAAATTAGCATTGAATTATTCATATGTTATTGACAAACGAGCATGGCGAACGAGTCCAAGAAGTTAACGTAAGGCTTTGTGGTTATGCTTCGCCAAAGACAGCTCCCAAGTTAGCGTTGTCGACCTTGGAAGGGGAGATGGTGTTTGATAAAAGATTTGCACAAGAAAAAGGGGACGTATGGTTTAAAAGAAGGCAGTACGTCTTGGAACAATAACCACTAACACGTGGACCTGGGAAAATCTAAGATTTTTTTCAGTTGGATACAATTGAGGCTTGAACGGGTAACTAATCAAACTGTATCTACTACTGTTTTCTTTGATGCAAAATGAGTGTACGTTACTTTAGCATGGTAATTTCTCGACGGTTGAAGGTTATGTTAGGAGACATCATTCGTACAGTTTGTCAGGGAGGGGGAGAAAGTTGCTAATTGTTAGGAGACATTTTCGTCCATTTTCTTAGGGAGGGGGGAGGAAAGTTAATTGCCAATTGTTTTTGGGGGGTGGGGGCTGGGGTAGGGTCACTTGCCATCAAGAGATGGCCTGTTTCGATTGCAACTTAAAACGAAGTCAGTATACTTAAAACATGAATTTGTTGTAATTATTTCATAAATTCCTTATTGACTAAGGGTGAGGTCAATATGTGTGTCAAGATATTAGGGACCTAAACATACCCTGGACGCGGCCTAGGACGACGTCAACCAGAAGTAAATTCGCAAGGTCTCAATTTTAATTTGCATAAATGTCACGCCACTTGACGGCCGCCACCTCAGTTGCGGCGGCGACGAAGTTTATTTTGGCGGCCTCTCAGAAAGGTCAGTCATTTTTCCGAATACTTCCCTTAAATTAACAAGTTTTGCATAAAATTTGCAATCATTATTATAAAAGAAATAGATTCCTAAACTGTCTGGTTCATTTTTGTTTTCATAATTCAGATTTACCGAGCATATAGAGGGTATTTGTGTGAGCGTCAAGTCTTCAGAGAGGAATCCGAAAAGTAGGTAAATCTGGGTAAATTTCCTCGGACAGTATTGCTTTATTTTTCATTTTAACCTTCATTTTTATCGTGTAAAATTAATCAGTGGCAGTTTAGGACCATCTTTCTTCGAGGTCAAATCTTTCGTACTCTTCATACGGTAATTCTAAGTTCTTTGAAAAGCTGCAGTCATAGAGGAGCACGAATTCTCCGCCAGAAATGATGTCGGCCAAATAAGAGCCTGTTAAAAGCTCTCGGGTCTTCTTAAACGACGTCATAGCAGCAAAACCGCCTGACTCCAGCGGTTATTCTCTGACTGAACGTGTTTGTTGTTAGGTGTTTCGGCGACCGCTTCCACGTATTTCCCGCGCAAAGGTGGCCGTCACGACCCATGCCCTCTCGGACGTGACCGCGTTCTTAAAGGCAGCCGCGTCCAGTATCTTAAGGTCCCTATTGCTTTGCTTTAACGGCTAACCTCGAGGCGTGTTTTAGGGGATTTGTAAAATGAGCATTGTTAATTGCAAAGGAAAAGTAGATACCATTTGTTTGAACGACTGGCCATCCAAGTGCAATAAATTTACTTGACCCCACGACCAGCTTCATTATTTAACTGGGACGCTTTCTTTAATTTTTACAGTATTCGCATAATGCAGGCGAGAAAAAGATCAGACTTGAAGCATTTGAGGATGGCATATTTCTTCAGATGGTAAGTTGATTATTTCATTCAAACAAAACATCCTTTACACTGTCATAGCTATCTTTAGGTGTACTTCTTTGTTTTTTTTTAATTAGGCATCGTAGGGTAGAATTATTTACAAGGGAAAATGTATCTCTTTTTATTTGATGAGCTGAATTACGCACACACGTATTTTGATTGGTTCCTCCTCGTGATCTATTGGAGGACCGTACGCATGGACGACGTCATCTTTAACAAAATTTTGACTTTTTATCATCTTAACTATAACAAAGAACCATGTTGTCGAGTAATACACCAGTGGCACACTCAGCTGCGTCGCTAGTGCCAATTTTTTATATTCTTATTACATTTTGACGTCATCTTTGATCTTTTACTGCACAAATGTACTGCAACGTAGAATCTATTTGTTCAGTTGTCTAGTTTACCTTGATGAGAAGTGAAATTGCAAACAAAATTTAATACTTGAAGTAGCCTTTTTCACTGGACTTTCCTACTTCCCTGAGCAACAAAACTATGTAACGGTACCTGATGATCCAGTTACACTCAAACTTGTCAGGTATGCGTTGTTATCTTGATCGTGGGAGTCGAAGGGTTAAATTACACTTTCTTATCATCCAAGCAAAATACAGCTCGGGGGAAAATGAATTTGTTACAGGTTTCATAATAGCCCACGTGTCGCCGCAGAGGGAGAGGGAGAGGGTACGGCTACAGCTACAGCTACAGCTACAGCTACAGCTACAGCTACATGCAGGCTAGTTTCTTAATTGAGATTGCATTGGAAACATACTCTTTGGAATTTGGATTTAGTGGTAGGACTGTCTGTCGGCTAATGAATAATTATTTTTTTTAAAGACCAGCTTCATCATTTTAGCCTGCGTCGCAGACAGTCTAAACCGCCGGTAAAGACATATATGGACTATACAGGGGATTGTGTGACACGTCCGGCTGCAACGCTAGCTACATCATTTAACAAGGATTTTTTTTTTTCTTTACAGTCAAACTGGACAAGCGGGTACATGATGGCAATTAACTGGATAAAAAAACCTGTTGAGAGGAGAAGGAGAAGAAGACTTTCAGAACAATGTTTCTTCAAACGGTGAGTTGGTTCAGGTTTTATTCAAACAAGCAATTTATCGTTATTGTAAGAAAACATTAGATTTTTAATTTGGCATAGAATCCCTAAAAATATTTTGCATACCAATCGTGCAAACGGAGTCGTTATTTGAATAAAGGAGGTAAGTCTCTAAAGCCGGAAACTGTGGTGCTGCGTCGGTGGGGGTAACAAGGTAATTTGGTTATATCAACTAAGTTGAAATTGTAAATTGGCCACCGAAAAGGGTTAAAAAGCTGAAGAGCGAATAGAGTCGGTTTTTTTTTTTCGCTTTAGAGGACCAAATTGTTCACACAACTGGAAAACAAGATTTTGTGGGCTGATAAAATCAATAGGAAAAATAAAGCACCTCCAAAGAGACATACAAAAAACAGGTAACAATAGGAAATTCAGTAAAATAGGGCTGGTTATGTGCTTTACACGAAATGAGTTTCATCCGAAATTTCGGACAAAGAGTTTATATCGTCTTGCAAGAAATGAATACAGTAAATCGAGGTGATCATATCAGAATGTTGAAAGCAATATTTTTATATGATAATCAATCAAGAAGTTAGATTGGTTTTATCATCTAAGTTGATAATGTAAATTGGCCGCCGTAAAGAGTTTAAACGCTGACGTTTCGAGCGTTAGCCCTTCACAATTCGCTCTGACGAAGGGCTAACGCTCGAAACGTCAGCTTTTAAACTCTTTACGGTGGTCGAGTTACATTATCAACTTAGTTGATATAACCAAATTACTTTGTTACCCACACCGACGCAGC